CTCCCAACCCAAGGAAAATGAACCGTATTAGTACGGGAAAAATTTAAGTTCCAGCTGAGGTAGTATCGACACTGAATGTTGAATCGATTTACTTAAAAATCGCATTGAAATGAGTCAAAACAAAAAATTGTTTGATAGTATTCACTTGAATTGATCTTCATAAAAATCGAATAGTAACGTGCATCCCTATCTTTTACTTTAGAAGTTCGTTTTTTATTGTGAGTTATAGCAATTCACTTGCGAGGACAGATTTAGGAACATCCTTTTCGCTCTTATTTCATGGACACGAAGCTTTTTTGACCGGCTTAATGCGAGTCGATAGATTATTTGATGATTTTCTTAACATCCTTATGTGTTTTGACGTGGTATTAGACTTTGTAAGTGATCTTGCTACTGACAGAACAATAAATACAATATAAGTGCTTGGTGGGCGTGACACGTGTGCCAACAAAACGCGGAGTTCCGCAAACTGAGCACAGTCCGCCATTTTCGCTTGTACGTTATGACTGTTAAAATTATCTCGCGCAAAACCTCGAAAATCATAAAAAACTGCCATGTTTTGCTACTTTGGAGTGCAAACATGATAGTCGCGCTTATACTTATATTTTATTTTTTTAATTTTAATAAATTTTCCATTCTCTCTGTATTTTAATCGCGTTTACGCACTGCATCAAATTCGTATTCGTTTCGAATCCGAGACTGTACAAATCTTAAAAAGTCAGACCCACTTCGTATGTTGCTTGTGCACTAAATCCGATACGAGAAAATACAAAATATAACGCTTGTACAACTAGAGATAAAATTATCCCTATCACATTTCGGACCGTTATTTCTCTGATTCTGAACTGATACGAATCGGACGTAGTGGCCAAAACGCTCCAATAGATATTTTGTTATAAGAAACGATAATAAACCTTGTTGTTATAAGAAACGAAAATAAATCTTGTTCCGCTGCAATATGATACACTTTTTTGGGGGAACTAAGCAAACGTTTCGAGATTTCCACGCTACTCGTAGGCGTCAATTGTTCGTCGTTTTTCTGCTATTGACCGCTAGATGGCAGCACGTTGAATAAAATTTCAATATAAAATAAAAACCTAACTTGCAATAATAGGTATTGATCTATCGAGTTCTTAGGTTTTCGCGATTGTTACACATAGGAAATGAAACTGTTTTTCCGGATTTAAATCGCGTATATTTGTTTTTTCAGTCAACCGTGACCATGAGACCTGTAAAGGGCCCGAAACGTCGGTTTGTTTGAAAAAACAAATATACGCGATTTAAATCCGGAAGAACAGTTTCATTTCCTAGATTGATCTTTCAACGATATGCTAACAGGATGAAGTTTAAATTATTTTACAGTTTAGAATTTGTTACATCTTTTTAAATTAGGAACTACGACCAATCATTATCAAGTTTTCATTGTGTTTTACATTATGATAGTGTATTTTTTGGCGACAGCAGTTCTTCAGGTCCTTCCATTGTTTTTTCTGTGTTGCTACCTAATTCGTACAAATTAATGCTATTTCCAGAATCAGTGTTCACAATCGCAGAAGATGGTGTCCTAAAACCGGAATGGTTCCGGCTCCGCGAAAACTCTTCCATGCTGCGGCCGCCGTCCGCTATACCGAGAGCCGTCAACGCGAACGTTACAGGCCTCGTTGCAGACCTTAATAGTCTAGTCAATAATCATACATGGCCCATCTTGGAGGTACAGTGAAAATATTTATTGTAAATGTATTTATTTGCACCATAGACCAATAACTCAATAAAGACTGCTAATCGCGATACAAGACTGCGTAGTTGGCTATTTAGTGGTAACCTATCACAAACTCGAATTTTTTTTCTTCTGAGATAACGTTTGTTCGAATTTTCGTTACACCGAAAACTATAACGAAACCGTTGTTCTTTCAGGATATGTTGGATGTTTATCGCAAAGACACGATAAGGTTCGCTTTAGTTAGATTAAGCTAGGTTTAAAAGAAAATACATTTTCCTCTCAAAATTACTTTCGAGGTTATGAAAATACGTGCAAACGTAATTTTTCTGAAAAATGTCATTATTCTACTACCAAGTAACTGTTTTTGTAACTAATTTATTTTACAATACCCTGCCAAACCGGATCGCAGTAATGCTCACGTTACTTCTTGGCGGCAGAAATAGGTAAAATGACTCTTCTCTAGACGAACTGGATCACAAGGAGCTCTACTTCTACTAACTCTACTGCTCTCTGTGTGTGTTCTACTGTCTTTATAACGGGCAGTGCTCAGAGGAACTTTTTGAACTGGCGCCACTGTCACGTTTCTATCATCGCACCTCCCGCCAAGGGAGTAGAACCCATCCACACGTCATAGATACTTGGTATTGGAAGACCACACTGGCGTCACGTTCATGCCTTCCACGAACTTGCACGATGTGAAGTGGTCTTCGTCCTGAAGTATTTCCCTTATGCTTATGACATGCAGTTCTTCGGAAAGCATGTCAACAGGACTCTCAAAGGCTCGGTCTAATCACTACGTACATTTTGCTTTGTATGTCTAGGATGGACGTCGTTAATCAATAGATGGCGCTGGCGTGTCCTTTTTTTGCCATACAATTTTTTTTTATCGTGTTTCAGAACCCGAAATATATTTCGTAATGACTATATCTTCAAAATGACCTAACCAGCAAAATGACCATCTCTGCAGAAAGACTATAAATTTACAATGACTTGGTAGCAAGTTGTTTTACCATGTCATTTCGATATCTAGTCGTTTTGCTACCAAGCCATTGTAAGTTATAGTCTTTCTGCAGCGGTGGTTGTTCTGCGATCTAGTCCTTATGCTGATTAGGTAATTTTGAAGATATAGTCATTATGATACTAACCCGAATAAAAACATTGACACAAAAAGCCAGTAGAAAGTATGAATTTGGAGATATGTGTATGTTGTTTATGGATAGAATACTACCTGCGTTAACCACCAGGGGTCTTATGACCTGATGACAATACTTGTTATGTACATATATGGTGCTCTTCGTCTCAAATGCTGGCAACGCATAGTCAGCTCCTTGTTGCAGATGAACACCTCCCATCAGGTGTCTCGTTTGATCGTTTGTCTCCTTCTTTAAATTGGAGAAATCTTTTTAAAATACCAACTTCAGCACGTTTGTAACTTGCAGCTGGTGTCGGAAGATCCCGACGCTACTCCTGAGCTGGTGAAATTCGCCGTGCTGCTGCCGGCCACGCCGGTCTTCAGCACCCCGCTGCCCGGTGACGACAACGATACGCTCGCTGTCAGTATCTTGTTTAACGTTGTTTTTATATAACTTTGGTTTTGTGCTTTGATACGTGTTTTATTGCGGCTGTACATTGAATTTTGGATGTCGGTGATGAACTTGTTTATAGATAATCTCAGTACAGCGTACTGAAAAAACCGACCTCAAAAGTCATTCGGGATGAATGACTAGTCTGCCACCCTTAGAGGTGGAATATTTTCTTCAAATTTAAATGGGAGCATTAATGGGGTACCCTCTTTCCACGAATAGAGAATCGGCAAAATGGATTCAAAGCCGGAGTTATCGCGTAACATACAAAATAACATAAAAAAAACAGTCGAATTGAGGGGTGCGTCAATTCCCCTGAATTAGTTCACCTAGGTGCATTAAGTACACTGTTAGTAAACTTAAATCACCTGGGTGCATTAGATAAACAAAAAAATAAACTTTATTCACCCCGATATTTAAGGACGCCAGGATTAAACTTGTTACATGGTACAGATACGGTGATGTAAAACTTCGTGATGAAAGGACTATAGCCTGAACTGCAGAGAGAGGAGCCCTGTGCCCAACAGTGGGTCGTATAAGTGGATTGATGCAGAAATAATAATAATAACACACTAGAGAAATCCTGTGTCGCGGGTGCCATGGACACACATATAAACAACCACAAATTACACACAAACTCACAAGAGAAATAAATGTAGGCCATACAAATATTTCACCCGACCCGGGTAAATGTACGCGGAACCTCTACGTCATGGTAGCCGTTTGGCAACAGAGGCACTTTCAATTTTATAAGAAATCTCCGTTATGTAGAATCATTGACGTAATTAAATAACGTTGACAACGTTCGTAATATATTTAAATTTGACAAAATCGTGTATATTTCGCTCTTTATTTGGTAGATTAATACAATAAATTTTTCATGTAAAGCTTTTGCATATACTGATAGTACCAAAAACGAGATTGAAAAGAACTGCTAAGCAAGGTTACTGTCTAAAGATATAATTATACAATGAACTACCACCGACTACATCTGAATTGCCCGAATTAGAATTCAAAAGAAAGTTAAAAAAAATTTTATTGAAAATCCATTCTAATTAAGTTGACGAATATTTTGACCTTTTGCATTAAAAAAATTGCTTATTATTTTATGACATTTAATGTATCTGTTGATGATTTATTGCTTATTCGATTAATTTCATAACAACGTGTTATTATTAAATTAATGTTCTGTAATTCTGTGTATGTATGCAAATCTTCGAATTTAGTTATATAATACATAAAATGTTAATAGTGAATGAATTTAATAAGATATTTTGTACTATTGACGTGCTAAATGTTACGATTTTTGTGACGTGGCAAATAAAGAATTTGAATAACCCTTAAATTAATGGCGATGTATGGTGCATGAAATGGGTTTTCTGAACGAGTTATACACTCTGCTTTTGACTTCGATTGCGAGGAAATTAAACAGCAATATTACAAATAAACGATTATTTAATTAAAATTTAATGTAAAATTACAACAATTACCTACCTACACCCAGCATAAACACGAACTTTAAGAGCCTGAGAAGTGAAAAAATATTCGTGTTGTCAATAGGGAAAAATGCATAGCAATTAATGATTGCAGGTCGAGTCGTTCCCGCATCTGGTGGAACTGCGCTCCGACGCCAGTCTGCAGCACGGCGAGCGTGCCCTGGACGCCGTTCCGGCCAGCGACGGCGGAGGGAAGCTGATCGCCTGTGCTCGGTGAGATATCAATATAATATATGCAATAATCCCACTTGTTTTTTATGCAAACGGGTCATTTCCAGCCAGAGTCGCTATCAAGGCCGAGTAAAATGACATTTGCAGGGTTGCCAGTTTCATAAAATTTAAAATGCTCATGCAATTGTCGACAATTTTATCGATAGATTTGAGAAGAAGGTAAAATTTTGCGACGTTATTTGCGACTTTCTAATTATTGCCTTCTTCATTCTTATTTCGACAGTTCGCCTATTAGTATAGAAATTTTTTTATTCATATACATTTGAACAAGAACAGGCAGATTTGATTATCTACAGGGTGAAAATTTTGAAAGAAACTACCTTAATCGTTGATGTCACAGGAAAACGGTTCTAGAAGACTATCCATGAATTTCGAGGATATTTTGATTGCACAGCTATATTTCCGAATTTGAATCCCTGTTAGATCGAACTTTTTTAAATTGTTTCTGCTCTGGTACTCATAGTGCAGGGAATTATTACATTATTTTATTTAAGTTGTAAGTGATCAAGAAACAACTTGAACCCATGACGTGTAATTGCAGCTGGAAGGCGGGTCACACTGGCTACGTCGCGGTGTACAATCCAGGCGAGACGGCTCACGCCAACCTCACTGGCATGGCCTCATTGCCTGATTCACTCACCATACACCACGTGTCGCGACAGGTCCATCTGGTCACCAAGTGAGTATACTTAAATTAGTAAGAAAACATTTTTTATTGTCTTTGCAACATCGACTTTGATTACTAGTACCATACTTCATGGTCTAAAACGTGTCAGGGAAAAGTAGTAAGTCTCGACGTATAACGTTAATGTTACATAGTGCCAATGACCTCGAACAATTTTATTTTAAAGAGGTAATTCATTATGTCATTGCAAAATCTCATGTTGACATTTTGTGATAGTGACGTTACGAGAAAACATCAGCACTTGACGTTACGAGAAAACAACGACACTATAAGAAATTGCTATTACGAGAAAACATCGGCACGATGAGAAATTGACGTTACGAGAAATCATCGGTACTATGAGAAATTGACGTTACTAGAAAACATCGGAACTATGAGAAAACATCGATACTATGAGAAGTTGACGTTAATGCGCTTAAAACGTCACGCGACATGGACTACCTGGAATACTACTGACAGGTAGCTTCACTGTTGCTGAACGTCATTTAGCGACTTCCGTGGTCGAGTTGGCTGGCGTTCCAGTTTTTCATGGTGTCATCTCTGAGGTCCCGGGTGAAACAACAAGTGTTTCTAGTTACTTACTATGTGATGTTGTCTAACGTATGTAATAAAATATTTTTCTATTGTTTCAGCTACACAAGCAACTTGTCTGTGAAAACAGGCATGGTCCTGGTGCCGGCCAAATCCACCGTAGTTCTTTCGTACGTGCCCAAAACCACGGCGGAACAATAGACCGTAAGGTCAAATAAGCATTCGGCTTAAACCGCAATATATGAGCGGTCCACATATTTATAATGTGATTTAATTTGCATTTTATTTTTTACGTGTGTCAAGACAATAAACGTTGTGTAGCAAGCATTTTTGGTATTTTTATTCCACACTAGCTGTGCCCGCGATTTCATGTGCATACATCATGTATCACATATTATTTATTAAATCAAGTCATCGCTTGGTCAGAGTGTTGCGTATACGCACGTACGTTCGTCGAAACATCGAAATTGCTTAAGCGCATAGATTTGGTATATAGGTACGTTCAGCGATTGTGGCATGACAAACGCACAAACACATCTTAATAATATAACGCACACACTCGCACAACACAACCACAAATTATTTTCGAGACAAAGGCCATATGAATATTTCTTTCGGCCCGGGAATCGGACCCGGGACCTCTGCGTTGCAGTCCAGCACGGTGACCGTTCACTCGCGGAAGCATTGTTTTGATAATACAATTTTCTGTCATCCTGACGAACCGCCAGCTGGCGAAAAAATTCCATTTACCAGACCAGCGACCAATGGAAATTTTTAAATATTTAAAAGTAAAAGTAATGTATCTACTGCGCTATTAAAAAACCTATAACACATATAACACATATCTTTACATGTCATTTTGTTAGCACAGGTTAACTCCGGATATTTTTTTCGTGACCTACGTCCATTGTTGGTAGGTCTTAGATTTTATTATATGTCGTATTCCTTAAACTACTAAGAGGTTAAAAAAATTAAACTACTAAATAGAAAAAATAGTAATTGCTAGTTTTATTATCCAATAACGTTTTAATATTTTTAAGAGCATAATTAGTTTGTACAAATATGAATAATAGTTATGAAAAACAATTTTAATAATCAGGAATTAAGTATATTTACTCGTACAATCTTAATTATTATAGGTCCCAATTTCTCATATGGCAAATATTAAATACTAATTATTAGTGATATAAGTACATACAAAATCAAAATTGTCTCAGAATATAAGATTTATAGTAAAAAAAATCAAATACAACTACAGCAAAAGTGTCACAATAATTTGTAAACAATATCACATGACTAAACGGGCGTATTTCTAATGGAAAAGCAACTTGAATGTTATTTGCTTACTAAAAAAAACTATCAAAAACAATTTAACTAAAGTGCACTTGCTTAGTAATTTAGTTACATAATTTCTTATGTTATGTTGTCATACTTCTATGAAAATCGCTTATATAGGGTTATTTATAAAATACAATCTCCCAGGACTATATTATTATCATGATAATAAATAACTTTTCGTCGCCTCATTTTCTCAAATTCGTATCTTAATAAACGTTACTGAAGTGCAAAAAATGGATTGCATTTACAATATGAAGGAGAGATTGAATATACATTTCCCTCACATTCACACACTGGCTTTTTACCTATTCTTAAAGTAATGCCTCCCAAATTAACACCCTTGATAAGAAAGTAGAAAGTTTGAGAAAGTAAGGCATCGTTTTGTTCTATGTATTTTTAATAATAATAAAAGAATATTTAAATACATTGCTCATAACAACTCTGATAACTCTGTACGCGCTAGCGTACGTACCCTGTCCGATGCAAAACGCACGGGGTCTTCGTTACTATAGATCTAAGTCAGATAGTACAACAAAAACTTGATTATTTTTGGTAAATTTATTACGTTTTGTAAATAGCCATGAAACTATAGTTGCAGTTTATATTGGTAATATATATAGTCCTGAGAGGTTGTCATTTTACATTTAAAATATTATAACTGAACAAAAGTATTGTTTAGGAACATTGACTTACAATTATATGGACGTCGGGTCCGCGCTAAAAAGTGTCCGCACTTGTAAGGCGCTAAAATCGTATACAGAGCGCGACACTCCGCTTTAGTCTTCATTTGTTCTACGGACAGCGCGATACTGCGATGACATAACAATTTAAATTTCGAATAGGTTGACTTGGGACATTTTTTTCGTAGTTTTTGTATTAGACCCGTCGTCCATTTATTTGTAAGTCAATGTTTAGGAAAGAAAAATTATTTATCTATCATTACCCCCTGAGGTGGCGTTTGCGTACATGCCATGGTGGATGAAGGTCGTGCTTTCTCGTACTCTGTTATATTGGAAGGTGAAACCATAAAATTCAAAACTCGTATAAGTTTTTCAGCACATTTCCGGCTTGCATCTGGCTTTTTTACCTGTCGCCTAGGGCTATCCTTCCAATATAGGAAATCTCTAGAGAACTTAATTATTATTAATAAACAAAAGTAAATAATCCCTACAAGGAGAGACTTTACTATAAACTCGTTAAAAGTTAACCAATCCTCGCTAGGTATTTCGTCTGGCACCGCTGCAGTTATATTATATTTCAGTTTTGTTGTAGGAGGACAAACTGGCATGCATTGGGTTACACTTTGAATTTTGTGTTTCATGTAAGGATGGTCGACGTAATTGGGATTAATTTTGATACGAAATCGACACATCAGGAATGAACATATCATATAATACCTTCACTAAATAAAATAGGGAATACGTGAAGAGAACTTGAATGAAGGCGTCAAAGACTACATGTGAGGGTACATCTTGTGCCCCCTTTAAAATGAACACATCGCACATCACTATTTTAATACCGGAAAAGCCTGCAGAAACTAATTTTCCTAGAACTAAATATGTTAATACAAGGTAGAAAAGAACACGAAATAGTAAAATGAAATGAATTGTGTATGTTTTTATGTCTAATTTTGTTTAACAGCCTAAAGTCAACCGATCACGTCGTCAGAGATCAAATTGCTAGAACAGGAACCTTACTACCATGTGCCTGGATTTTCCAATTTATCAAGTTAGTTATGATTATTTCTTAAGCAATATTATAGCCAAATTAGAAAGTTGCTCGATAGACTCGGTGATCTGTAAGTAAAACTAGTCTCCAACGGTTACCGGATCGCTATCAGGTTCCGTTTGGTTTGGGCTTATTGAACTGGAAGTTGGCACAGTCCAGGTTGTGGCGCTCTCGGCTACTCGGTTGAAACGGCGGTTGCAGAGCGAGCACTTGACGTAATCAGGGTTTTCCGATGGCGGGTTCGGGGGGGGAGGTCGCCAAGTTTACCTAGTGCAAATCATATCATTCAGGACATCCAAATTTCGGGTGTGCAATGTACAATAGTCGGAAAAAGATGATCCACGTACATATACAGATATAGCTACAAGGAGTTTTGAGAGATTGTTAAAACCACCAAAGATTGATTAATTAATGTTTCGATTTCGTCGAATATTATTCGATATAAGAATTAGTTACTATATCTATACATGTATCTATATATCACACCCCTCATGGAAGAATGGCATAAGTGGAGTTAGGTCAAAGAAGTTTATTGTTCCATTAGATACAGAAAAATATAACCTACATCCTCTCCAATGTAACTCTATCGATTAATATCGGAGATAGGATTTAGATTTAGAACAGTTTAGTAATATCATAATTAAATATATTTATAATTATCTGTTTATGACATGTAAGCGTGTTGGCTATTTAGCTGTAAGTTTACAATGTAAATGAATGAATAAATAAATAGAGTTACAAGAATTGGAGAGGATGCAAGTTTTTTTCTATATCTAATGGAGCAATCAATGTTTTTGATGTAATTCCACTTATGTCATTCTTCCATGAGGGGTACGATATGTGGAACACCTTTTTCCGGCCATTGGTAATGTAGCATATAAATATTTTTATCTTAACGCTAATTTAATATAATATTACTTAATATAAGCTTTTTTCATATAACAATTCGCTTGATATCACGAACGTTTAATATAAACTTACATTCTATAATTTCATTATTGGTAACAACAAATGGTTAATGACCCATTAAACATCAGTTTACATAACTAAATATAATATTATTAAACTGAAGTAAATTTGATTTAACACATGTTTGGAGTAACAAATTTGTTTCAGACTTGCTTGTTGCTTTTTCATATTATACATATTAACCTAACCTGACCTAAAGCAGTAGTGTCCATTACAGTTTAATTAAGAAATATGTGAATTGACATGGAATGATTGTTATATATAAAAAAGAGCTTTATGTAAAATCTCCTTATAACATGTGAATATTATTTACAAATGAGAGTTATATGAAATTAATTATATTTCTGAAGTGTATTTAATTAGAGTGAAAATTATATTAAACGAGCGTTATATTTCTTAAAATTAGTTTATTTGATTTTTCACACAAATGAGGCTCACCCCCGTATTTCTGCTTATAAATCATAGTGTTTGCTCCGTATTCTACAATTATTTGCCCACATCACACACAGAAGCGCTGGCAATCTTGTAATATTAATTATTACGGGCATAATAGACAAAGGCAAACGCCCCGAGGATGAAGTTCGAAATGGTTGTGTAACCAGGTAGCTGAAAATCTGGGAGTACCGGTGAACGTCGCACTTCACCTAAGTGACGCGACCAAGTCATGCGCCTGGCGGTAAGTGACACACCTGTCGGTAACAGTTGCAGTACCACTCAGAACTTTATTTAATAACAAAGATCTGAGGGGCACTGCCACTATGTCTGTCACCCTGAGACGCAAGAAGTCCCATGAGCCTTTGTCTGCGGGGCGCTGGCCACATTATAGGTACTCGTAGTAATGTGGAAGTAGTAGTGTCAAGACGTTTTCAGGTTCTTATTGTCAGCGGGTTTTGTTAAAACACTCTTCGATAGACACATATTTATTTTTTACTCAAATGTAAGATGATATTTTAATTATACATATGCGATTTTAAAACTAATCAATTCTTAATCAAGTTTTATCGATGCACCTTCTTAAATTCTCATTTTTGAAGTAGTGGTATCGAGGAACAGTTTATTACAATAGGAAATTCATTTCCTATTTGAAACAATATCGAAACTTTGGAGCAATTACATTTAGAAATTTAATTTCTCGCTTTAGGGAGACAAACACCGCAGCCTTGATTTTACTTATTGACAAGTAGACTGCAAGGAAAAAGCCGGAAAGACCTATCGCGTTTGATCGACCACATTATTTAGCTACAACAAGAAAGTAAGATTCTTTGGCCAAAAATGCAGCCAGGAAGCTTGTCATCCTTTCCAAGGTGAGGCGTTACTTCACACCGAGACACTTGCTTCAGCTGTATCAAGCACAAGTCCGGTCACTTTGGGATGGCTCTGCTAAATCCCAACTGGCCACCTTGGATTCAATCGACAAGCGTGCCGAGAGGTATAAGTGACTCGGAATTAGTAGAGGCGAAACTGCAGAGCCTTGAATACCGCCGTAAAGTTGCCAGCTTATCGGTAGAGTATGCGATGGAATTGCATAATTTGATTCCGCCTTCCCATTTCCATCTTCGGGGGACTAGATGTGGCCTGAAGTTCCACCCTTATGTTGTGGATATTCCCAGAATTCGCATGAAGAGTTTCGCTTCCACATTTATACTGGCGAGCGGCTTGGGAGTGGAATTCCATGCCTGCAGACTTGTTCCCCAAACGCTATAACCTCGACCTTTTCAAGGCGAGAGTGAATAGGCATTATTTAGCGTGCATGCTACATCGTCGACTTCTTCGTCATTTTCCATCAGATGAGATGAAGGTCAAATGCGCACTTATTTTTTATATATAAAAAGAGACTAAGATTAGGTATTCAAGTAACCTCCAACGGAGTATATTTCTGGCTAGGTGACCATCATTTATATCCTAGATTACCTACCGTTTCCTATTTCCGTTTGGTTTGGGCTTGTTAAACTGGAAGTTGGCACACTTCGGGATGTGGCGCTCGGCGGCTGCCTGGTTGAAACGGCGGTTGCAATGCGGGCACTGTACGTAATCCGGGTTTTCCGATGGCGGAGGCGGTGGAAGATCGCTGAGTTTACCTGGTGCAATGTTTTTTTCGTAAACAACTTGTAATACCCTCCGAATCGAAACAACATAAGAAAAAAAGAAAGGCCAAGAAGAAAACTACGTAACGACTGAATTTGTTGTGAATAACATTTGTTCATATCTACTAATCAAAGTTATTAATGAGACTCACGCACTGCTTTTTAATTCCTCGTTTCGCATATTATGGTCATACACTCTCCATTGGGATAACCTGGTTTGTCTTACCGATCATCTTGTTTTTTTATTTTGGTATTTTCGTCGTTGGGAGTTGAATCTAAATAAATAATATTTACAAGAATTGATTATTGATTCTACACAAGTTGAAAACAAAAATAATCCCATAGTACTGTAACTGTAGTGTAGTACTGTATATTAAACTCGCCTGAACTGTTATTTTCTTGGTTAACATTTTCTTCAGGAGAATTTTCCAACGCGCTTGAAGAATTCTTTTCATCAACGCTAGACTCGATTGAATTGACCTCTTCGTCAATACTGACTTGAGAAGCTTTTAACTGATCTGGATCATTAATTTTGTCAACACTGACTTGAGTAGCACTTTTTAATTTGCTTGGATCATACGTTTTATCCATGTTGCTTCGAGAAGAGCTTTTTAACTTGCCTGGACCATTATCTTTGTCACCACTAACCGCAGTACTATTTTTAAATTTCTCTTTATCAATGTTAATTTGAGAAGTACTTTTTACATGGTCCAGGCCGTCACGTTTGTCAGAATTTGCTTGAGGAGCAATTTTTAATTGTCCTGGAATATTCGTATTGCCAACACTTTTTACATGGTCCAGGCCATCACGTTTGTCAGAACTGGCTTGAGGAGCAATTTTCAACTCTCCTGGAATATTCTTAGAATCAAAATTGATTCTTGGAGCACTTTCTAATCTATTGATTCTTTCTTCAATTGTTGCGACCCTTCCACTCAATTTTCCAAAAGAGCTCTCTATTGCGGGGGCAATCTGCTCTGCTATGGCCTTGCTTATCGTTTTTGTTAGGCGTTCATTCAGTACATTTGACAGTTCATCGCGGACTAAAGTACGAACTTCGTCAATGCAAAGAGAATTATCGGTGTTAGTAGTAGTAGCGTCGTGTGGTGCTTTAAGGCCTAAATTTTGTGTTTCTTGATTGTGGTCAGCAGATGGTGAGTGAGATGTACCAGGACTATCAACTTTAGAACTAGTTCCAGTTTGTGGATTTGACATACCAGGATTAGCTCTATTTCCAGTTTGTGAATTTTCTATTTCCACTTTAGGATGAGTTTTCGTGCGAGTTTGAGTACGACGACGTGAAGTTTCCAACAACTGTAGTTTATCCTCGAGTGCGATAATTCTCCCCTCTAGGTTTCCAATACATATTTGCATAATTGGTGTAATTTGGTCTACTACAGCTAAGCTAATCATATTTGAAACACGTTCATCCATTATAGTTTTTAATTCATCACGAATAATTATTCGGATACCGCCAAAACTATCATCTCTGGGAACCTCGGTTTCTCTAAAAGACATTCCGCTTTCGTAAACTGGGGGTACGCATAAGGGTGTTGGACATTCTCTTGTAGAAATATATGTATTTACTGGGTCAGCATTTTGAGGGTAAGCAATGTGGCGTCTTCCCGTTTCTAATGAAATAATCTGTATCTCGATATTAGCAATTCGTTCACTGATGTTTCCCATACAATTCTCTACAATTGGAGCAATTTGACTATTCACTGCGCCACTAATCATTGCTACCAGGTGTCCCTGCAGTAGATCCGTCGTCTCAAAATGTATAATCTGACGGATAACATTAATATCGTTGATGTCCTCAGTGTTCGTAACATTTTCAGCACGTGGCGGTTGTGGAACAAATTGAAGATCAGGCGAAGATCTTGAACTCACCGCAATTGGACGTTGTTCACCAGCTTTACAATGATCGCATACCCACGATTCCTTCTTTCTGCGATGATAAGTGTCTTCAGGTATATTAGCACACGACATGTCGTACACTTGTTTACAGGTCATGCACACTACATAGAGTTGTCCAGTTATATTAGCTGCGCAATTCGCGCATATCAATTTCTGCGCATCCATAAAAGCAATAGACTGTGAGGGTACTTTGTTTCGATAAAAAAAACTAAAAAAAAATCACTTCCCTGCGCTGATCCGGGGGGTCTTGGCCACAATACGATGAGTAGTGCAGTGTAAACTTGTCAAGTTGTCAGGTGCTTCAGCAAAAGGCGAGCTTGGTCACGGGTCACGTCTGTCTGCGTAGTTCACCTGTGTGCGCGCAATATGCGCTCAAAGCCTTGTACGGTCAGCGGTCGTTATTAACCTTTGGGAATTTAATTAAATAACCGATAATCAAGTTCAAAGTTCTCTTGATGGCCTTTCTCTAATTAAAAATAAAAACTAATAGCATAACCCAGGAGGACGAACAAAATGAGCATTACATTCCAATGTACAGACATGAAAATGTTATCTAAGATAAAATATTTAAACATTAACCTCCTGCGTTCAAATGAGCCTGCACCTGCTTGGCAGCTCTGATGGCTTTAATGAAGTCGTCGTGTTTCTGTCGCCAGGTGCTGTTAATCGCCTTCGAACTTATCTTAGTCGACGATGTGGTCTGCTGTTTCTTAATTTTCCCGATGAACTGCTCAGCTTCAGTACCCTAAAATATTAAAGGCTGTTAAGTTATTGACGAAGTGTAGGATTTTTTAAGATTGTACTATAATTAAAATAACTTAAGAGTCGATACTGCCTCAGGTCGAATTAAAACTTTTCTCGTACTAATACGGTTCATTTTGCTTGAGACGACCGGCAGGGACACTGGCTTTATTTCAGAATTTATTTTTTTACAAACCTTAGAATAATAACGCATAGAATGATAGTTTCATATCAAACGAACTGTCACAAGTGAGGCAAAAATCAAATTCATGTAGGCTAGTTTTAGTAGTAGGTTAATTTTCGGTTTTAGTGAATATTTATATAAAAATACAAGTTGAAACGCGTTACTTCCTTGTGGAATGTGATGCTAGTATCTATTTTATGTTTGTCTGACGTATTTTTACACTCATTTACCGCACATTTCGTCATTTTTAGCTAAAATTCTTGATCTGTTCGCGGTGCAAGTTGACCTTGAGCACTGAAGGCCCGCCCGCTCGTGTAGGCCCATTGGGCGCGCTTCAATTTGCCTTACTTAGCGTGTGCGGGCTAGGTTTCTATACGTTATTATTCTAAGTTACAAACTTAATGAAAGCCATTTGAAAAATGTATATCGCATACCGTACGTGTTCTATTTAGTTCAGTTGATATAAAAAAAAATGGTATAATGTATACCTAATGAATACAGAAAAAAAAGGTATAATGTGTACCTATCCCTATTGAATACAGCGGTTTTCTTGTAAAGTTTCGAGGTAACTGTATTTTTTTCTATCATGAAAGTTTTTAGGAATCGTGTTTTCACATCGTATAAATAATCAGTGTGTATCCTCAATGTTACTATATACTCCTTTTCCTCTCGTGCAGCGCAGCTGTGGAACAGACTCCCTTCCCATATTCAGTCTAGTCCGTCAATTGCTTCCTTCAAGAAAAGGTTGACAGCGCACTTTCTTGCTGAACTCTCTTAATAATCATCATATTTGTATATGTGTAAGTTTATTGATACAATGTATTATACGTTATGTAGTCTATTTATTTATATACTATTTTGATTATTTAACGGTAATTTTATATATGCATATTTTATACATGTAGATTATCATCTTTTGTTATCTCTTTTGCACGCCGTTCCCCGCTTAAAACCTTTGCTCTCACTGCCTTGGGTTGGCTGGAAGAGATCTCTTTTAGAGATAAGTCCACCTTTGCTCACTTTATGTTATTTTTTTTTTGTTTCTGTTTATTTGTTTGGTGCAATAAAGAATATATATACTTTTTTCAAAGTGATTGATTCAATGCTTTCATTGTTATTTGGATTCAACCAAAGCCATTTGAGGTAGTATAGACTCTTGACGCCAATCGTATTGACGTTTTAGCAATATTTGTTAGGGCGGTTGAACATCGTATAGTGATCATTACCAATGGCTATGTTGCTCGTAATTAACACAAATTTGCAGCATGAATATGTTGCTATCATCCAGTGTGCGTTAGGCTTACAACTATAATGTGCAAAAAACTTTGAAAACATGAAACAGTGTATTTGTAGTTGATGTCTTTGAAAAAAAGATGAATAAGGAACAAAAGAACAGGACATTGACAACATCAATTGTTTTGAACATTTTGCTTGCCTTAAAATTTTCTGCATCGGTACCCTGAGTGCAGAAAAAATTGGGTAAGTGTGAGGCCAGACGAGCCTAATTTTGTGAGTTGTGTGTCGCGTAGTTTGCGCTGCATTCGGTTTCGTGTGAAAGTACGGATTGTTTCACACGACGACGCAAAATGAGCTATTTGCCGACTCATGGGCGTGATGACGACTGAATTTCGGTTGCAGCGTGAGACGCGCTGGCGCGGGTGGAGGTAGGGGTGAGGGAAGGGGTCACTTCGCTTAAAAAGCAACTGAATAAAATACGTTCGCCTGGCGCTCCAACCGAATTTCGGTCGAGCGCAAACTGCGCAACTCAAGAAAAGCAACTCACAAAATTACGCTCGTCTGGCCTCACCCTAAGTGTTTTGCATCTTACCATGGGAATAATTACAGTTTCCACTGAATCTCGGAAATGTTTAGATTCACACAGTTGTAGGTAAGTTACGTTGCTAAAATGTGCCTCAATAAATCTATCACACTTATTGCTTCACATTACGCAACATTTTTTTTTTAAATAACACACACACAACATAGCCCCGCACTAGGGAAACCCTGTGTCGCGGGTGCTATGGACACACATAGACAACCACGAATTACACTCAAACTTACGAGAGAAATGAATGTAGGAAATATAAATATTTCTCCCGGCCCGGGAATCGAACCTGGGACCTCTGCGTGGCAGTCCGGCATGGTAACCGTTCGGTCACGGAGGCAGTTAACATATAGCAACATTGTGCTGTTGGATGAATTAGTTCTTTTACAATTCGCACCCTCGTCCCAATAAGGCCACATCTGGAAAATGCCCACTTTTCAGGAGTGGTTTAAAGATTCAACGAATTAAATTAGTCGATAACTTTATATTTCTGTTATAAAATTTCTCAAACACAATTGATTTATGTAATAAAAGACTTCTGACGTATGACTACACATGTGGCTTTATTATATCAAGAGCACGAATTTGTGGTGAGGCTTGTAAAGAATCAGATAGTTCTACCCACAGAACAATAAATACAGTAGAAGTCGTTAGCGTCGCACGCGTGCCAACTGCAGGCGTAGTTCCGCCAACTTGAGCTCAGTCCGCCATTTTTGCTTTGTACGTTATGAATGTGTCACTTTTTTCGCGTAAATTCTAAATTTAAATTATATTATCAGTCGAAAATTTGTCACGTCTTTTTAAATTCGAAACTACCACCAATTATCAAGATGTCATAGTGTTTAACGTTTGTTTGTGTGCGTTTTGGCGAGAGCGGTTCTGACAGTAATCGAGGCTTAAGGCACCTTCATTTGTTTTCTTCCGTGGTTCTACCTGTAAACGATGTTTGAGCGCATCAAAAGGCTTGCGTTTTTTAGCGTTTGCAGTCCGACGGCAGATCTCTTCGTGCTTAGCGATGCGGTCTGCAGCGAAGTGACGCCCGCAAACGGCACAGGCAACGCCGTTGCCGGCTTGCCCTGGAGCCAATTGTTCTGTCGTTTTGCCTGTTCCACCTCTTGGGCTGGACCGAGTATTCTGAAAAAATGAATCAGAGTTGTATAAAGAAATCAGAGTTGGTAGCGTTACAGCGCTCACTTGAACTTTGAAGCTTTTGCTTGTGTATCTATGTGTCTGTCTGTCTGTGGCGTCGTAACTCCCGAACAGATGGACTGATCTCAAAACAGTTTTTTTATTAGAAGGTTAATTTAATCGGGATGGCTCTTAGCTATGTTTGATGAACATCAGGACCCCTAATTTTCTGAAAATTGTAATTTCACTAAAATTCCAAGGAGATTTTATAAGTTTCATGATAGAAGCTGGAAACCAGCCGGCTTGACTCGCACTACGATTGGCTGATATAGTAACTCCGTATTATTTAGGATAGGTTAAAACGCGCTTATTATTGATTGTTTAGAATATCAGTTTTTTAATTGTTGGGGTATGCGTATTTGGTAATACGTGGGAAATTTTGGCAAGCCGGTGGGAATCGAGTTATACGGACGTCTCACCTGGGGCCAAATTCTGCTAATTTTAGCCAATAACAGGTTTTCTACAATAAAATTTAGTATATAATACAACACTTCCCCAAGTCGTCCCCAAAAACGTCGTTGGTTTGTGTGTGTATCAGTGTGTGTATATGTGTATTTGTGTCTATCAGTGTATGTGTGTGTAGGAGAGAGAGACAGATAAAGATAATGTGTCTGTTGTACCTGTAATTTTTACTTTTTTGTTGTATTGTTATTACGTATTTGTCCGTGTGCAATAAGAATATTTGTATTGTATTGTATTGTGTCTGTGTAAATTATTATAAAGTGAAATATGAACCTACTTAAGTATAATGTTATTTTTATTTAAATACGTATAGCTTTCAATTTAAATTTAAACCATTAATACTGTGATGAATATTAATCTAGATACATAATATAAATAATAATCGATATATTCAAAATAAGTAAGTAAATATCCTATACTTGTTGACTGATATTGCTCAAGCGAGCAAATGATTCCTTTTTTAAATATTGCCTTAGATTGACCAAAATACATCGTGTTCACTAAAACGTGAATTGTACAGTTTAGCAACACGAGTCGGCGAACGAAGCATAGTTTGTCGAGATACGGTGGTATGTAATGTAATTCTCAATTTCAATCTCGTTTATTCACCAATTTAAGGACTATTCACATTAGACCGAGCCGGGCGCGAGCCGAGTCACGAACGAGGCTCGGATTGGAAATGCTGCGTACATTTTATACGAAGTGATTCACATTACAATGTTCCGCGTCCGTGTCACGGACGAGAGACGTCCGAGCTGCTTCCAAGCTCGTCCGAGCCTCGGATGCGGCCCGGCTCGCCTCGGCTTGTTGTAACGTGAACACCAGTGCGTCGTACGCGCCGCGTCCGAGTGTGCGACTGTAAAGAGGGTGATTACGTTCTTTTCTAATGATGGAAAATTGAGTGCGTATGAAATTACCCAGTGCTTTATAATATGATAAAACACAACGTTCGTTTTCGAGCGTAAATCGCATCTTACTGACTGACTCAAAGATTGTGCGGCGCGTACGAGACTCGGATGGCTCGGATGCCTTGGACACGGCTCGCGCCCGGCACGGTCTAATGTGAATCATTCTTTAACCTTCAAACTAAATACATGTAATACTAGTCGACTGACCATTGACGTAGCATCCATTCGCCATTGACGAGTCTGCTCTTACCATATGTACGAAAAAATTGCAATGGCACTTGAATATTAGCTCGATGGTTAGCCACAGACGAGACACTCTTAACTTTTATCAGAATACGAAACGTACAAAATCTACCTTTGACATTCTATTTACACGCAACTGAGATGATTTGAAATTAGGAGTGTTGGGCCTTGTTCAGTAAGTAAAAGATCTAACGGTCGCAGCATATGGAACGTGATTTTTCTTTTTTTTCATGGTTAATATTGTTGCATATAAAAACATAGTATTCAAGTACAGTTTTCAATATAGAGCAAGAGCTTGGATAGTGTGCTGAGTATTCAAAAGCACAGTAAAGTAAATATTTTTGGATGTACAGCGTGTTTTATTCGCCGTTGTTTTCTTTAGTAAACACCCTTAGCGCTAGTTTACACTTGTACGGTTTATACGATTCAGTTTTCTTATTCGATTTACCGTATAGGTTAAAAAACGAAAGTGCGAGACGTGTGTCGGTGCAGTTGCAACGCTCATAATGGAAGGGTTCGTGGAAGATGGACAACGACGTTGCAACGGCGGTTATTTATTTGTATAATAGGCGTAGATAAATATAAAAAAGATTTTGGCAGCATCCAATTGTATCCTATACTCTTTATTCGCGGCGTGATACGAAAAAACGAACCGAGTGCCGCTCCCGAAATTACCGCTGCGACCGATTCGTATTTTTTTACAATACCAAGTGACGAGACGAACAAGTCGTGCGCCTGGTGGCAAGCGACACGCCTATCTGGAACAGTTGCAGTGCCATTCAGAGCTTCAAATCGCAAATATCTTATTTACATTGCCACTGCGCCCGTCACCCTGAGACATAAGTTGACAAGTCCCATGTGCTTTTGTAATTTAACCAGCACCCTTACCCTTCTAAACCGGAACGCAGTAATGGTCACATTACTGCTTGGCGGTAGAAATAGGAAATCGTTCACGAGGAGCTCTATTGCTACTAAACATTTTTTACCGTAAGCCGCTACGTTTTCCAGTGACAAGACACGACATCTTACACGGTTTTACCTTATGGTGTGAATTCACCCATGTCTCCGCATTCGCCACTGGAAACCGTCCAGAAAACCGATTCGGTAAACCGTACAAGTGTGAATCGGCTTTTAAAGCTACGAGGTTACGAGCTTAACGCTACAGGTTTACTATCAAAAGCCTACAAACTACTAGCTACATTCTACTAGTAGTAAACTTTTCGTTGAAGTTGACTACAAATTATGACATCGATGTAACTATATACATTCATATCTACTTTAGATACATAGGTAAATAAAATCGCGCTGATCGACGACGGTGCGTTCGACATTTGGCCTATGCATTTTTTATGTGAATGCGATATTGCTATAGGAAAAATGGCGAAAGCGGTCGATCAGTGCCATTCGAGCTAAAAAATAACTTACAAGAGGCCTGATGGGTCTGTCCCTTGGGCTTGATTCGTATCCACTAGTCCCGGATTGGACAGGCTTGACCTACCAGGCAAGGTAATAAATACTACGTTTAATTACGTCTTACTTTTTGATTTCAATATTTTGGTCGCTGATGGCTTTTCTATTGTATCAACAGACAAAAGAGTGAACATGGCTCATCACGCGTATCAAGTGGCTAGCCAGGGGTGTCTAAACGGGCATTGACCTTAGGATGCTAAGTTTCCTTCTAGCAGTGGCGGATTTGCCTTAAGGCCACCCTAGGCCCGGGCTTAGGGCGGCCAGATTTTAAGGGCGGTCAATCGTGACCAAAAATTGACTGATAATAACATTGACTTACAATTATATGGACGTCGGGTCCGCGCTAAAAAGTGTCCGAACTTATAGGGCGTTAAAATCGTATACAGAGCGTCATTTACGCTTTAGTCTTCGTTTGTTCGACTGACAGCAAAGCAAGCAAAATTAGACAGTACTGCGATGACATTACAATTTAAATTCAACGTTTTTGCTTTTTCATATTCCTTTACATGTAACTACGTTTAAATAGGTTGACTTGGGACATTTTTTTCGTGGTTTTTGTATTAAACCTGTCGTTCATTTATTTGTAAGTGAATGGATAATAACAAGAAATAACTCAAAGTACCTAAATATTTTAAAGGCTCACGCACATTATGACGGGCCGCACTGCACCGCATCGTATTACAATAATCATCCTAAATCACTTTCGTATATTTTATTTATACATAGAATATAGATATTTGTCTACCAGTAGGTATGTGAGTGCTGAGAAAGGGGCGGCTGGTACTGACTACATGGCCTAGGGTCAGGGCGGCCGAGATTGCAAATCCGCCACTGTCTTCTAGAGTTCCCTTAACAAAAAACATTGTTAAAGGTTAAGAAACCTTTTTCTAGTCATGGACCCCTCTCAAAATGTCAAAATGCCCACGGACCCTTTCCGAAAAGATAAAGATAAAAAACGGTTGAGCCTTAGATTGTTTAAACTTGACTCAATTACACATGAATAGTGTGTGTTAGGTAGGCTCGCCACGGACCCAGTTCACTTGCAGTAGTTGCGTTGCAATAATTGCAGCAGCAAACAAACTGCACAAGCGGCTGCTGCGGCTGCTACTCAATTGATTAAACCACCTTTTAAATGCAGTCATTTAAATATATGTACAATAACACACGGCATATTTAGCGGAACATCAGTAAAAACTCCAAAATAGTGCAGTGTTTTTCGTAAAACACTGGCCGGTTGTTAAGTCTAATTTGAAAATAAAAAAATATTTTTTTTTTTTCATTGTTTTAATTTCCTGTTAATACAGATTTGTTGAGCGGTTCCGAGGTTCGTTCAGTGTCCATGTAAATTTCGTAAACATACGTTGAAAAATGACAAACTAGCGGAGTAATTTCACAAAAATAAATGAATATCATGGTACGAAAACATATTCATTACAACCATTTATTACAACTCATTGAAAAAGTTGTTTACTTATTAAACTTTGATTTTATCAATGTTTTACTGTTACGATTTAAAATTTTCACCCGTTCCGCTTTGTCACAAAAATTTCAAAAGGAAATGCATTTTAAGTTCCACTTTTTTCAATAAAGATTGAGTACAGACATATTAATCATATCTAATTCTTTGTATATAATTTTGTATTTAAATATAAACATTACTATTTTAATTCCTCACTTTTTTGTTCCGCTAAATATAGTATGCAGCAGTGTGTAGTATTTTCCAATTGCTATGCAGTCTCAGTACTGCTCGTATGTCAATGCACTGAGACATCTATAATGATGAAATTTGTATGTATTTTAGCTTTAAATAGCAAATACAGATACGAAGAATAACCTACCTGTGCATCTGAAGTTTTGTACTCCTGCAAAAAACAAAAACAAAAAAGGAACAAAAGTAGTCTTCACATTTAAATCCTGACTACAAGATCGCCAGTTTAAAAAATATCGTTACACGAACTGCATTTCGACAGTCAATAAGTGTAGTTACATTAACTACACTTATTGACTGTTGATTGCGACTGCTAACTTCTAGTGCAGTCCGCGTGCAGTTGTAGAACAAATAATATGAAAAGTGTAGTTAATTTTCTAAACTTTATTTATTATTTTAGTTTAGTTACTCGTAACTTTTTTCCCTTCTTGCCTTTTTTAGGTCTAGCGCCATAATCGACAGTGGTAATTTGAAATGTCGTAAGGAATATTTTGTCGTAATGGAAAATGTTCCTTACTACAAAATGTCGCTTACGACATTTCAAAACTCATCGACGAAAATGTTACCCTTATATCTACGGTGGAAATTTGAAATGTCCTAAGAGACATTTTGTTGTAAGGTCATTTTCCCTTACAACATTTCAAATTTCCATAATCGATATGGATTTGTGTTTAACATGCTAATTACTTAGGTTAAAAAGAGACGGAGTCAAATTCTCTACATGACTGAACTTTTTGCTGGTTAAGTATAATTTGTTCACTTAGAATAAATATATTCTGAGTTATCTGCTTGTGGAAAACCTGCCCGAGAACAAAAAAAACGAAGTATTACGAGTACATACACTAATACATACATACACTTTAAGCCCTTTTCCTATCGAGGTCATCACAAATCTTTTTTTTTCAATGGCCTGATGGTAAGCTACGTGCCTGTCCATAACAGTTGCAGTGTCACTCAGAGCTTTAAATCGCAAAGACCTGACTACACTGCCAAAGCGCCTATCACCCTAAGACATAAGGTGACAAGTCTCATGTGCCTGTAATTACACCAGCACCTTTACCCTTCAAAACCGGAACACAGTAAGGCTGGCATTACTGATTGGCGGTAGAAATAGGGAAGGTGGCAGTAGTTACCTTTACGAACTCTTTCACAAACTGCTCTACTAAAATTGCATGTGAATTTGAAACCTAGAAGTGTATTTTGTATCTAATTAATGCTACTCAACCTCAAGAATGTAACATGGAAGGTACGAGTAACCTATATTGTCGAGTCGGATTCGAAGGCCTCTGTTTGAGAGGCGGCTTTATCCACCTGTGGAGGTAGATAGAGACCACAGTTTGACGACATATCTTTTGCCCCATCGACACGTATTAAAAAAAATTAAATAATTAATGTTTTTATTATGCATGCCTACTCACCAATGCTCCACGCTGCATGGCCCCACGGGGCTTGCTCTTTTCAGGCACCTGCGGACCACAATCACATTACTTGCTAATTTTGCTACAAGTTTATCATCGAACCGAATAATGATTGCATTTGTGATTATTGTTTTTTTTTATTTAATTCTATGTTTACCAATAATTTAATACAATTGTGTCATTTTGGCGATATGCTGAAAGAATATGACAGTTGGAATTTGAATTTCGAAATGTCAGATGTGAAAAGAATATATATAGATAGATGGTCTATTTTTAATTTATATTTTTAACCGACTTCAAAAAAGGAGGAGGTTCACATTTCGACAATGTTTTTTGTATGTATGTTACGCGTTAACTGCTAAATAGCATTTGTGAACGGATTTTGATGATTCTTTTTTTGTTGGAAAGAGGGTACCTCAGAAGTGGTCCCATTTAAATTTGAAAAAATATTCCACCTCTAAGGGTGGCAAACTATGAGATGAATGATGACTTCTGAAGTCGGTTTTTTTGTACTAAGATTATACCATCTTTTTTCCCAATAATAAGTGCATCGAGACCACAGGAAAAGTAGATGGGAAAAACAACATTGAGGTAATAATAACGTGTTAGACAAAACCATACCGTTTCTGCCTTTCTTGTCATAATCAACGCATTTGCATGTTGGTCACTTACGAGATATTGGCTTCTAAAGTTTTTTTGTGAAAAATGTCAATTGCGTTGATTTTACTTGTTGTATACACATATCATAAACCCTGTATGATGTGTTCAAAAACCGCAAATTACGACCAGCTTATAGATAAACTGTTTTGTTAGAACAAATTTCTTATCTGTGAAATGTTATTATTGCTCGTAGTCTCCCTCCACGTTATTGCTTAATAATAACATCAAATTCGATTTTATTATTACATTCAAATTTCGAACATCTCTGAAAAACAAAACAATTTCATTCGACCTCAATTCTAATATCAGCCGAGATGAAGTTTTATTCGAAATGAAATGTTAATGTTAATAGCATTGACTTACAAATAAATGGACGACGGGTCTAATACAAAAACCACGAAAAAAATGTCCCAAGTCAACCTATTCGAAATTTAAATTGTAATGTCATCGCAGTATCGCGCTGTCAGTAGAACAAATGAAGACTAAAGCGGAGTGTCGCGCTCTGTATACGATTTTAGCGCCTTACAAGTGCGGACACTTTTTAGCGCGGACCCGACGTCCATATAATTGTAAGTCAATGGTTAATAGCAAACAATTTCGACAATTTCACACGTTACTTGATATCGATGGATATGATAGTTGGGGCCGATTCTAGTTTGTCTATGAATTAAAAATAAAAACTACGGTTGTGTGACATGCGTGAGAAAAGTTTTTTATTGCAGCCATTTTGCCAGTCGTAACATGTGGTTCCTGAACACATCACAGAGAGCTTGTAATATGTGTGTTGATAAAGCAGTGTATGTACACTCGTCAGATGTTTTTATGAAGCTCGCCTGTCGGCTCGTTTCATCAACCCACACTCGTATTATAATGACTTTCATTACGTAACAGTCACATAAACTACTATGTAAAAAAGGTGTACATTTGTCCTCTATTTTCAATATGTCTGGTATTTTATTACTCTTATATGGGTACAGTCCTGTAATAAGGGCTATTTCTATACATCTCCAGATTGGGTATAGGGAGGGATAATATGTGTTTACGGTGAACACTTCTAACTGGTTCACAAAAAAGATATGTGTTTTGTAACAATCATTGCAGTTTCAAGGGTGTGTATTGAATGTAGAGTAAGGAGGTTTAGTTCTTTAAAATGTGATCTGTTGCATGTTTTGTTACCAAAAATCAGTGTGTACGTGGTTCGCAAGTTTGCCGCGAGCGGAACTATTGTGGTTCGCAGTGAGCCATCTGATCGAAGACTGTTTCAAGTGTTAGCAAAAGTTATTCTTAGGGAATTTCCCCATCCAAGGGCCGAGCAGCCAAACGAGGAAGGGCCCGAGCAGCGCTGCATAAAAGGCGGCGCGCACACTCACTTCTTCTTAGCGCTTGGTGTGCGACACACGTCTCCTTCCATTGGCGTTGTAAAATAGTGCTTTTTATTCAGATAAATTGACTGTTATTGTTCTCACTGTGATTATAGTAAATTGTGATGAGATTTGATATAAAGCAATAAAACTTTAAAAGTAATTTCCGACTTTCGCTAACACAAGCGTACACACTAGAACCTCGTTACTGTATCTATCACGTTACAGTTCACTAATGAGCGTCCTGTTATAGTGTGTATCGCGTGGTTCGCGAGCGGAACGCGCGTGGTTTGCGAGCGGAACGCGTGTGGTTCGCAGTGAGCCATCTGATCGAAGACTGTTCCAAGCGTACAGACTATAACCTTGTTACTGTATCTGTCACGTTACAGTTACAGCTCGCTAATCAGCACCCGGTTATAGTTTGTACGTGGTTCGCGATCTTGCCGCGAGCGGAACGCGTGCGGTTCGCAG